GGCCTATTCTGTAACTATATTCGAAAAAAAAAATCGAATTAAAAATATTAAAGTTTGTGTTTGTATATTTTGTGAAAAAAACCAAAATAATTAAAAATAATCAGGCACAGATTTGAATACTTCTTTGTTATTGCTCGATTTTGAGAATTCTCTCAAAGTCGAAAAGCATCTGCAAAACATTAGAGAATGGTCAGAAAATTTAAGTTGCCATGCAACAGCAGCTTGCAATAGTATTTATTTTTTAACTACGCGCTTGCTTAGCAGCATTAAAAGCCCCAACAAAGCTGGGAAAGTATGTAATTAAAATGTTAGAAGAAAAAACAAATATTGTATTGAGTTCAATGATTGCTTGACTGACAGCCAACGCTGCAATGGCATTCAATACAAGCAGTAAATAGTACATACATACATTTATATTTCTACATATATTTATGTATGTATTTTTATGCACATCACTTGCTGCAGTAGCAGCTTTAACGGCGCCCTTTAAATGCCTGCAATTTATTACTAATGTCTATTGCTGGCGCTGCCAGCGCTGCTGCTACATTTTATTGTTGTTAAATAGTAGAAGAAAATATTGTTATTGTTTTTGTACTTAAATGACATTAATGGAAAAAACAAACATATGTAATTAACACAGGCCAAGCAGCGCAGCAGATAAACATTTTACTTCCTACCGCCCGCCGCACTTATAGCACAAATGCACGCATACACACACTTATACAAGTGCAAGCAAATGCAGTGTCTTTCTCCAATATCGCGGAAAATGCGCTGGTTTTGTTTTTTTTTTTTTTTTGCCTCTTTCAAACCAGCCTATTTTCACACTCAACCCACCAATGGCCGTATCATTTCCAGGCCAAGCGGCAAAATCGCGCGCACGCCATTTAAAAAATGCAAAATATGCTTGTGGATGCTGAAAATAAAAGCGCTGAACTTGGCAGCAGAAGTGGAAACAGAGCTGCTGCGGTGAAGGCGACAACACTTATATGCGCCGAGCGTTGCTTTATGGGCAGGACTGCGCGCTGAGCGGCCTTAAAGGCGCATATGAAGTCATTAAAAGTGGCAGGCAAAGTGATAAATTGTGTAAAAAAGTGCGCAAGTGTGTGTGTATGTATGTGTTTGTGTTGGTGGAAGAAACAGATACGCGCGCTTGTTCATGTGTGCAAGCAGCAAAGTCAAGAACTTCCAGCAAGACTGGGTTGACTGACTGTAGTCTACTCAGCAGTAAAAAAAAATAAACAAGCAACAATAAAAAGCCTACAAGCACAGAAACATAAGCAAATAGGAGACATTAAAGAAGAGAAAAAAGCTGTAGTAGATGTAAAATATATCTTCAAGTGGATCTGCAGCTTGCAACGCTAACCAGCGCAGTACGCGCGGCACATTAATGCAACAAACTGCATTTCTACACAGCCAACTACGCCTTACAGCGGCCGCCCTTTCAGGAACGCACTCAAGATCAATGGCATTTTTGACATTTCAAACAAATCAGAAGGTCACAAGTGCCAACAATGCTACAGCATTGCTGATGTGTTGAACATATGAGGGATCATGCGAGTTGCGCAGTAGATAAACAGATATTAGATGGGAAAATTGTTGGGGAGCATAGCAAGGGGTTGTAATATACTAAATTTAAAGGGGATAATAAGTGTTGTTTGTGCGTATATGGCGGAGTTTGTTGATGATTTTGACAGAAGAAATGATCTACTTGCTTTATATTTGTTTGGTTGTTTAAATGAATGCTGCTTAAGAAGCTCGAGCAGGTTTCTCAGACGCATGAAAATATGATAGAGTTGATGTATTAATAATATTTTTGAGACATAAATGTAGTTCCCAAAGTGTAACGTAGCGAAACGCACACTTTTTATCTCAAACGGGTACGATACTTAGCTTCAATTATCTAGCAAAAATATGAGATAAATAAAATAGTTCAAATGCAGCAATTTTTGACCAAACGCAAGCTTTTATTTGCTATATTAATTTTCTTGCTAATATTAGAAACAACTTCAGCAATATCAACAATATTTTTCAGTACTCCATTTCACAGCTTAAAATGTCCAACGTACGTGTATCTTAAATAAGATTTATTAAATACAATAATGACCAAAAAAAAGTGAGCTTTTATTTGACAAATTATTTGTCTTACTATCATTAGAAAAACCTTCAGAAGCCTAATACTTATGTTTCTACTCATAAAACTCCTTTTTTTTTAGATAAAATCACAAGCGAACATATGTTTTAAATAAGATAATTTTAATATATTAAATATCCACAAAATTTAGGCTTTCATTTGTTATATTACTGATCTTCCTAGCATTACAAACACTTTCAGAAATCTAATATTTGCCACCCAATCAAATCAAACAATGCGCGAAAAAAACGTTAAACACCGCAAATACTTCTTTCCTCACACCTTCTTTCGTATCGTAAAGTAAGTGAGCCGATAATATTATGTAAAATCAGCATGAATTATGCAAACAAACTGTAATTGATATGCTATCAATGTGGCAAAGAAAATATACAAAAGTGCTCTAGTCACACCTACAAAGAGCACTTAGAACCCACCCAACAGCAATACGCGCACACAGCAGTACGCTGCAGAAAAAGAAGGAAAGTGTGGAAAAAGCTGAAAAAAAAACCACCGACAAACGCACAACGCAAATGAAAACATATTTTAACGCATTATTTATCGGCACAAACAGGCGTACAAATATTGCCCGTCTTAAGGCCGTACGATTTTTTCAACGTTCATTGAAATGTTAAGCGCTAAGTAAAACCACAGGCAGCAAGATGGTCTATTTTCGGGGGTGGTGTGGGAACACACTATACGCACAATTGGAAAGCAATTTTTTCTGTTATGGAAAAACGTTTGCCGGCAAATACTTTGAGGAAATATTGAAAGTGTCTGCTTGCTCGCAAGTAGCCAGCAAGGCACGACCGTTGTTTGAGTGTGCGCGCGACCTTTTCGTTGGCGTCAATTTTTTCTGGTTGCCCTTTTCAGCTTGCTTGCTTTGTATTGATATTTACTCTTGACTTGTACAAGCGCTTAATTTTTCCGCACAAACAAAAAAGAGAAAGGAAAACAAATGGTGAAAGGGATTTGCTAGCTTGCTTTGTAGAAAGATTGTAACTTTGGTGACTTTTGGGTTTTCCTCAGAGGCACACAGACATTTTTCCATTGGGTGTATTTTCGCTTTTCTGCAGCCGTTTGGTAAGTGTTTGCTGATTTGGTGTGAGTTTCCAAAATAAAGTCATTCGAAAAATAGGTCTGCGTAAGGTCATAATATTATAATATTGACAAGACAATTTTTACGCCTTCAATTGTGTAAAAAAGTTTGGCAATTGCGTTTATTATTTGTTTAGTTGTCAATGCCTCGAAAATCTCGAAAGGGGTACACGTTTCCTTCACATTTTTTTTTTTTTTACTTTATAAATTTTTATTTGAGTTGTTTTCGTGCGGAAAGGCGTATATTAGCTGGGACTCGAAGGGTTAGCTAACGTTCAAATGTCTAGTAAATTGTTTGACTTTGATTGAATTAAGTTTGCTATTGGATACCTTGAGAAAAAATTATAAATGATGATGTGGGTTGGAAGAAAAATTGCTTTGGAAAATTTGATGATCAAATTGATATCATTTTTAAAGGTCGAGCGCATATAGGCTGGTTGGCAAGCAGAAACTGATTTTTTTAAGATAAATGCTGTTTAATAATTGTTTTAATGTTGTCTTTTTTCAGAAACGTGAACTTTAATGAACATTTTTTTCTACTTATAGCCAAAAAAAATTTAGTTCCCGTTTATAAAGCCGCGATTAGAAAGTCAGGTTCTTGCATAAAACATAATCTGCTGTGTCAACGTCTTTGATCAAAAGCATTTGCAAGAAAACTTCAAATTAGTATTTGATAGGAAAAACTTAATTTAATCGTTTTAAAGATAGCTGTTAAATTATGTGTTTTGTTTTTATTTGAATCGTTTTGTCATTAGTCAGCATTTTGTTTGAAAATGTGTGACTTTTAAGCAAATTTTCTTTAGTCCGTAAGAAATAAAAATTAATTTTCGTTTTTTAAGCTAGGAACCAAAGCTTTAGTACTTTTTAAATTTAAAGTACTCTTTAAGCAATCTCATTGTTAAAATTTTTTTGGCAGAAATGTGGCAGTTGAGTCAGAAAGTTAGATTTCGTACAGAAATATGGTTTAGAGAGTTTTTTAAAACTTTATATCAATTGTTTTTTTTTTTTTTTGCATATTGTGAAGCTTTTGGCATTAGGTGTGACTGTCTGCTTGAAAATGTCTGATTTTTTATGAAACATTTCTTTAGTCTGTGCAAAATTAAATTCAATTACCAATTTTCACAGCCACAACAGAAGCCTTTACCTCATCATGTTCTCTAACTACACACCATCTCCTAACAATCGCTTTCAGTAAACCCTTCCTCAACGCGCTCTGTTCACTTACCTCTTTATCTTTGGCAGCTAATAGTTCAGCATGATTGTTTCCTACCGCATGCGACTTAATTGTTGCACTTCCAGTGTAGTAACCAATTGTGGCATCGGTTTTCCCACTCTCACCACTTTCACCACCATCAATTTCCATGCGCTTGACTTCCGCGGCGGACATTGCATGCTCATCGTCATTATCAACGCCATCCTCATCATCATCAACAGCATCTGCATTATCAATGCAATCATTGCCATCCGCATTGGCTTTTGTTTTTCTTGCACAATTATTTTTGTTTAGACTACAACTAGTTACTTTATTGCTATCGCTACTGCTAACATTTAGGCTAGTATCATCAGTTCTTTGACCACATACGCTCGCATCAACACTCTGCTCCATCAGATCCTTTTGATTTGTTGCATTGTGACTACGCTTGCGCGCATTCGCATTCTCATCGGCATCCAAGTCGCGCTCCTCCTCGTCCAACTCATCGCCATGCTCATTGTCGCGCACGCGCTTCACCAATTTCATTTCCGCTGTGAGACTGGTGATCAATTTGCTACCATCGACTGCGCTAGCGCTGCGGCTGCCATCCTCATCCATATCGTCGTCGTCTATATGTGGCGCGGCATGCAGTGGCGAGTGCAGCGGCGATTGTTGCTGTTGTACGGCAGCTGCTGCAGCAGCAGCGGCGGCTGCGGCCGCAGCTTCCATCATCATTTGTTGTGCGTGATTGAAGAATAGCTTGGGATTGAGGCAACCGTTGACGCCGTTCAAGGCGGCGCTCAGCGGCGAAACGCTGCTATTGCCACACGCGGCAGCAGCTGCAGCGGCAGCGGCAATACTACAACCGTCTGTGGACAGTGGCGGCGAGGGAGAGGGTGTATTCGTTGTGGCGGCCAACAAATTGCCACCGTTCTGATGTAATGTTATCGCCGCAGCGACGCTATTCAACAGTTTTGTGTTGTTGTTATTATTATGATGCACGCTATTCGGGCTGTTGAAGCCCGCGGCAGCGGCGGCGGCTATGCTGCTGTATGCAGCGCTGGTGGGCGAAAGCAGTTTGGTGCTTGGTGGGATTGTTGTAGATGTTGTGTTTGTGGTGGTAATGCTTGTGTTGCTGTCTGTGGCGGAGGCGCTGCTGTTGGCGGCGAGTGCGATCGCGGCCGCTGCGCTCAAGTCGTCTATGTCGGCCGGTATTTCGCTGCTGTTAGCGTTGGCTTGTGTGTTGATGGTGGTGCTGGTGTCTGTGTTGGTGGTTAATTGATCCTTCAAGGTGTCAACGTCCTTATCCGCCAAGTTAGCGCGCTGCAAAGAAAAAAAGTAGAAAGAAACAATGAGTAAAAGTTGCTTGAAAAGTAGTCAACAGTTATTAAAGAGCAGTTTAAAGTATATTAAATGTTAGACTTGCTATTTTTATTTGTTTTTCTTGCTTAAAAATATTAGATCGCGCAACGGCAGTTCTAAGTTTATATTATTTTTCAAAACTTCTTCTTTTAGTATAATTTTTGTTTTTGAAAAAATGTTGTCTCAAGAACCTCGCTGTAACTCCAGAACATATGTCTTAAATGGCATAGCTTGAATTTTGCAAGAAACTATAAATTTTGCTTTTTCTAATAAACGTTTAAACAAGCGAACCGCTTTAGAAACACCAACATTATAATCAACGAACTTATCGATTACTAAAAACAACAGCATGAAAAGCAAACCACACATACAATTATTAAAGCGTGCTCTTATAATAGTTCGGTACTGCATATTTGCCAACACTTCGCTTATAAATCCCTAATTTAGTTCAGTCATAGTACGCTCAATGCATTTCTATTTCATTTTGTTGCTGATACAATCGAAAGCTTATTGCTTCCGGTAAACAAACGTCAGCCAACTTAAACCAAAAAGTGGGTACATAGTTTTACTAACACAACAAATAAATTTTGCTTAACTTTTCATTATTTGCGAACGCCTTTTTCTCTTGCGGAGTGTGGGTCACATTTGGGTAGACTAATTTGCCAAACATTTAAGCAAAGTCGAGGGTTTAATCGTCAGCTGTAGTATTACCTGCTACTCCTACCTTCGTGAAGTAAAAATAGTTTTTCGAATTGTTAGGTTTTTTGGCAATTTGACCAAATTTTATAGTTCAGCTTATCGATACGAACGATAAACTATAAATTTCGTAGTCAAAAAGTTGTAGTCGTGCGGTAGCAGACGAAATTTTCGTAGGCACTCGTAATTACGGGGGTATATTGCATATGGATAGCCTTATTTGTTGGCATTACTTCGAGCAGTTTATGCGCTCTTAACTTTACTGTTTTGGCCTTTTTTTTGGCTATGGTAAAAGTTGTAACGTATTAATTTGGCCAAATTTAACCCGTAATGACTTTAAAAGTAAAATTAATGAGGGTCGCACTGCTGCTGGTTAACGGAAGTGGTGTGGTGAGGCGCCAGGCGGTATTATGCCAGTTGGTGTGAGTCCATTGAGCGTTGAAATAAATTGACAGTAAGGAAACTAGTAAATGCAGTTGATTTGTTGTTGCAAGTGCATGTGTTTGTTGCTTAATGGGGCAATACGAAAATGTGAGTGAAAGGAGTTTGCACATAAGTTTTTGTTTGCGGGCGTGTGTATATCTAATATTGGGCGTAAGGAGTGGCATGGTTAGTGAGAAAGAGAGCAGGCTGCTATTTGTGAATTTATTAGTGTTTGCACTCCTAAAACTATGCAACATATAAGCCTGCTTTGTGGGCTGTATGCCCAATTACATGCTTTATTATTTCTTTTTTTTTTTTGCTTTTGCTACTTTTAATGTGTAAAAGGCTGTTCTAAACTTATGCTGATTTCAATACCCTAAAATATATCTTTGTTGTTGTTGTGAACGTGAAAGGCCAGGCAACAGAAGTCATTAGGACGCTTGTGTTTTAGTTTCGATCATTTTCTGGCCATTATGGTATTTGGGTGCCATAGTGGTGTTAGACATTTTGTAAACTTAAATTTTTTTCAAGAAATATAATGCTTTAGTTTTACTTTAAAAAATTTATTTATTTAAAAGTAATATAAAAAACAATGATATGA